CTTTCTCATACTGTTCTTGTCTGGTTTTGGTACGAAGGCTACGCTAGATTCATAAAGTGAGTTAGGAAGTGTTTTCTTTTTCTATTTTCTGAAGGAAAAGAAGTTTTCCTATTTTGTAAAAGAACAGAACAGTTCCATGAATGGTTGATAGGATTCTCCCATAAAACTGTCCAGGCCTTGTGGGAATATTTCTGCAATAGTTACAAGGCTATTTGGGTTTTCTACTTCTTTAATCAACTTTGGTACATCATAGTATTCTAGAAATTTGTCCATTTTGTCTAGGTTTTAAAATTTATTGGCATAAGACAGATCATAATATTCCCTTATCTTCTCTTTAATCTCTCTGTGTTGCAGCTGCAAAGGTATCCTGTTTTTATTACTTACTTTTTTTTCCCCTTGATTTAGGAAGGTGGTTTGTTTCTGGTAGTAGTTTGTTTCAAAGAATCAACATTTGGGCTGCTTCTCTCTCGGGTCTTTTTCTTTTTCATTCATTTAATCTAGAAAGTGAAAGTGGCTCCGTCGTGTCTGACTCTCTGCGACCCCATGGACTATACAGTCCAGGGAACTCTCCAGGCCAGAATACTGGAGTGGGTACTTTCTCTTCTCCAGGGGATCTTCCCAACCCAGGGATCGAACCCAGGTCTCCCGCACTGCAGACGGATTCTTTACCAGCTGAGCCACCAGGGAAGTCCATTTTAATTTATATAATATTGTTAATTATATTTTAAAATTTCATTCTTCCACTTTTCTTTGAGCTTATTCTATTGCACTTTTATAACTTTTTAAGCTGGATGCTAAGCACATGCATTTTTAGTCTTTTATTTCCCCTCTAGTATAAGCAACTTAGTTCTTAAGTGGAGTTTCCTCCTTGAGGACACGGGTTAAGTATCTAGCTCCCCTACAGCCAAGAGGAGTAGGGCTTTGAGCCAGTTCCTCACCCCCTCGACCTCTGTATGAAGACCCTTCTCAGGGAGAAGAGCAAGGAGCCAGGGCAAACCATTTGGAAGACTTGCATTTTCCTAGAGTGTGAGCATCACTTTACTGAAGGGACTGTCTGAATTACTGAACTAAACTAAGCCTTAAACTGGACTGATACCCTTCCCCCTGCCCCTGCCCAGCTTATGAAACACAAATTTAGGTATGAAAGTGAGTGTTAGTTGCTCAGTTGTGTCCAACTCTTTGCAACCCCATGGACTATAGTCTGCCAGGCTCCTCTGACCATGGGATTCTCCAGGCAAGAATACTGGAGTGGGTAGCCATTCCCTCCTCCAGGGGATCTGCCCGACCCAGGGATCAAACCTGGTCTCCTGGAGTGCAGACAGATCCCCGACCGTCTGAGACACGAGGGAAGCCCACGTTCAGGCGTGCTGCTGCCGCTGCTTGGTCGTCTCTAGTCGTGTCTGGCTCTGTGTGACCCCGTGGGTGCAAATCACCAGACTCGTCTGTCCATGGGATTCTCCAAGCAAGAGTACTGGGGTGGGTTGCCATGCCCTCCTCCAGGGGCTCTTCCCAACCAGTTCAGGGATTAAACATGAGTCTCCTGCATTGCAGGCAGATTCTTTACCACTGAGCCTTAGGGAAGCCACAAAATTTAGGTAAAGTCAATAAATAACTATAATTTCAGTATGAGTTAAACTTGATGACTCTGTTACAACAACTATGAATAACCATTATGACTATATGATCCCAAACATTTCCATCAAGGTTAACAAATCAATATTTACTAGTTTCTTCTAAAGGTATTTCTTGAGCGTACCTTCCGGGGTCACTCTCACTTTATGAACAGCAATAGATCCTGGAGAAAGGACAGAGGAAAAGTGCTTTTAAAACTGTCTCCAAGGAAACCTGGCTGTTCCATAGCTTATCAATAACCATTCTGAGAGGCCAAATACTTTTTGGTTCTCAGTTGCTGCTGGGGACACAACGGCTGATGGACAGGACAGCACACAGCAGCTGCCTTCACACGTTTTACAGATGAGAGGGGAACTGATACAAATGACAGGTGGGTCTATGGCATGAGGACAAGCTTGGAGCACACGGCAAGGGGGACTGTCATTCAGGGCTCAGGGAAGACTCTCCTTTAGAAAGCAAGCTGGGTAAAGAGAGTAAATGCAGAGCGTTTGGGGAAGCAAGTCAGCCGTGCAAAGGCCCAGGGGCTGTCAGTGAGGTAGCACAAGGGCCTGGAGGAGACTTGAGACGGCCGTTGATCCTGAGAAAGGAGTGAAGAGGTAGTAAGCGGACTCTAGAAAGGTGAGCAGTTACTGAGTCACGCGGGTCCCACAAACCACAGGAAGGAGGGTGTCTGGATTTACAAGAGAACACCTAAGGGTGTAAGCAGCCCCCTGGCCAGGCTAGCATTTCCCATGATGTTATGACACAACAAAGGTGTGTTCTCGCCAGAACTCTAAAGGCCTCTGTGAATTTCTCAGTCGGAAAACTTCATTTTTATTTTGTGTGTTTTTTTTCTTCTGGGGATCTCAAGAAAGAAAGCTATCATACAAATTCTGAGGCAAAGATCACCTTTCACTAACCTGGTATTTTCTTCTAGGGGGAGCTCAGGCACCTTGGGATGAACTCTAAGAATATAGCCGATAAATAAACTTCTGGCAGCAGACCCTAGAGTGATGGGTATGAGAACAAGCCTGTAGTTACCAGAGAAAGTGGCGCTTTCAAATACCAATGGATCTTGCCCATCTAAGCACCAGGACACGCCGCCTCTGGCCCCGCCTGCATGAGTGGTCCCCATGTGCAGTTACTTGCTCCTATGCGAGCTCAGAAACAAGCAGGATTTAGCCCCCTCCACTCAAATCAGCTTATTAGAAAGCAAACGTTGTTTAATATAAATATAGCAATTAGCAGCGGCTTGGTAGATATTAAGGGTGTTATAAAAATATTTACTTTTCAAATAGCCTTAAAAAAAAAAAATCAGGCAAATAGGAAGCCTAGATATCTCACAGACGTTTTAAATGTAATGCATACTGCCAGAACTAAATCCGTCGCCTCATCAAAATCTGGGATAATCTACACAACTGGCTTAGATTCTTTAAAGAAAAAAAAAAATCAATAACAAAGATAAGGGCGTGGAGAGAGTGTCTATATTAAAAGAGAAATGCAAATACCCCCTAAATGTAATGCAGAGCAGTTATAAAAGATATTTTGGGGGTAACTGGGGAAATATGATTTTGGGTAGAACATTAGATACTATGAAATACATGTTATTTTCCCGGCTGTGATACGCAGGATTAAAGTATGACAGTTACAGAAACCCAGTATCATCTGAAATGCCCTTGAATTTAGGAGACGCCCATGTAGCTGAGGGCGTGACCGCCTCCACTCTCTGTAACTCACTTTCAAATGCGGAGCACATGGGTCGGTCGGGGGGAGGGGCGCAAACGTGGCATGACGTTCACAGGTGAGGAGTCTGGGTAAAGGGGGCTCAGCTGTTCATTATCCTCAGCCTTTCTACTAATACTTGTATGTAGATTGGAAATGGTTCAGAAAAGAAGGAAAAGCAAGCAAATAACAGAAAGAGCACTCTGAGCTATTTCAGCCAGAGAAACACTGTGAGCCGATGGGTCTCACAAAAGCTGCTGAACAGGTAGAAGGAGAGATCAGGTCACACATGGGCAGGCGTAAGGCGACGGCTTTACTGAGAACGAGGGTGTGAGATATAATTCTGAGGAAAGGGCAACTCAAGTCCTTCCAAGACCTGGGCTACTGATGTCCTTCTGTGTCTCATGGAGCCAGGCACCGGGCAGGGTGGGGGGGTGTGGCCTTCCTGTGGCAGGAAGTTATCAACAGGAAGAGGAGCCTGTCTGCCCGGCTCTCAGATCTGCGGCCGCCAAGCTGCAGTGTGGCTGCTGCTCCCACACGTGTCCCTCTCTGTCTTGGAATCTCCTCTGCAGCCTCTGCTGTCAACCGAGTGCTGGAGTCTGCCAAGCGGCAGCCCTGGTCTCCTGCTCCCCAGCCTCCTGAGGGACCATCTGCCTGCCTGCTCGCCCCATCACCTGCCCACATCCTTCCCCAGGCTCTCTCAGAGTTGGGAAGTTGCAGGAACATAAGATTTCTGAGACTCCATCAGCATGGGTTCTTTAAAGCAGGGGTCCCCAACCTCTGGGATCTAATGCCTGATGATCTAAGGTGGAGGTGATATAATAATAATGGAAATAAAGTGCACAATAAATGTAACGTGATTGAATCATGGTGAAATGATCCCCCCCACCCTGGTCCATGGAAAAATTGTCATCCGTGAAACTGGTCCCTGAGGGCAAAAAGGTTGGGAACTGTTCTCGAAAATATTACAACACTACCATTCCCACTGGAGGGGCAGAGAGGGAGTAATTCCCCCACACAAGCACCATTTCTGGTTTTCTGAAATTCACTGAGGGTCTACACAGGGCGCTGAGGAGGAGCTGGCGTGTCACCACCTAGACCACCTGCCTTCTTGGTGCACGAGCAGCATTCGGGGTGCACAGGCCTCAGGTGACCGGCCGCCCACCTGCCACCTTGCTGACCCTTCTCTGGAAGGATTCTTTAGAAAACGTTCCTTATACTGAGCCCAAAACCATCCTTTGTGGCTTCTGCCTGTGAAGTTCCTCTTCCCCGCCCTGGGGCCGTGCACCAAGGCACCAGACTGACTCAGCGTGTCCTTCTGCACAGGCGGGCTCAGGGTGAGAGCCTCAAAACAGCTCAGGGGACCTGTGAGCTCCGAGGCTGGGGTGGGAACAAGCCCACTCCACCGAGGGATGTGTGACACGCCGGCTGCTGCCCCCCAGATTCCGCTGCCCCTCTGACATCCTGAATCCCGCCTCCCCTCCCACGTGGGCTTTAACGGCGGACTCAGTGGAAACATCACTTTGAGGATGATGGGTTGGTGCGGCTGGGGAGGCTGCCTCTGAGTAAGCACCTTGTGCCGGTGGCGCTTACGTGATGAGAATAGGAAGAAAGTGTGATGAACAGCAAGGTGGCTCTAATGGGATGTAAAGAAACCAAACGCTTACCTCGCCTTGGAAGCTCTTCAGCAGTGGCGCTACCTGCTTGCGCAAATCCTGGGGCGAGAAGGTGAGTCAGGAACAGCCATTGGAGGAGAAAGGAGAAGGGAAACATTCGTTAAGGTCTCCTAAGAGTTCAATGCTGTTTTCTGTTACATAAAGCAATCCCAATGCCTCTCTTGGATCATCCCGTCCCTCATACAACACAAATAAAGCCAACTGTGCCCCTTAGCTTAAATGAACTCACTCAGGACCTCCCTGGTGGTCCAGTGGCTAAGATTTTGTGCTCCCAATGCAGGACACCTGGGATCAATCCCTGATCAAGGAATTAGATCCCACATGCTGCAACTAAGAGTTCCAGTGTGGCAACGAGCGACCGTTGCATGATGCAACTAAGACCTGGCGCAGCCAAATAAATTTTTTAAAAGAGAGAGAACTCACTTAAGAATACAACTAGGCTTTATTTCCTCTGAGTTCTGGTTAGATAGACCTCATTTTGAATGTGGTGTGGAGTCAAGTTTTTGCCAGTGTCAGCCTAAGATAATCTGCTTAGAATAAAATAGGGTATTATAATGTAGCTTTGATTTGTTTGCATCTGAAATGGACCCGGGTCACCATCTTGCATTTTAGCTGCTATTTCTGAGCACTGTTCACGGGAGACAGACATGAACCTCCAAGGCTGGCCTCCATCTTCCAGGCCAGTGCCGCCAACACCAACAGAGTGCCAGCTCCCTGTGTGACTTACGACATTCTACAGCTACGTTCAAAATGCAAAAAGACACAGATGAAATCAATTTCGGTTTCACTTCACCCAATATATCCAAGATAGTATCATTTCCTATGAAATCAATACAAAAATCATTAACAAGATATTTACATCCTTTGTTGACATTAAGTCTTTGAAACCCGGGGTGCATTCCCCCACATCTCCATTTGAACCAGCAGCATGTCAAGTGGGCCCTTGTGGCCACATGTGGCCAGCGGCCACCACATCGGGCAGCTGGGGGCTGAGGGATGCACGTGCTGATCGGGGCTCTCCGTGGTGGTGGGGGGCGGAAGTTCAAGACTGGTGGACCCCTCGCTCCCCGATGGCCAGAGGGAGAGGTGAAGAGCAAGATCAGGAGAAGTAGGAGAGTCAGGAGAACACAGATTGAGAGGAGGCTGTAACAAGAGGGAAAAGGTACTTATACAGAATGTGGCCACAGACGCCAGCCCTGAGAACACCACTGGGTGGAATGTCCAGGAGGCGCTGAGTAGAGTTGTGGGCTGGAAACTGCCCTGCAGGGGGGCTGAGGGGGACGTGGGTGTAAGGGAGAGGCTGCAGGGACTGTGAGGGGGAGGAAGGAGCCCCATGGGGAAGAGGGTCGCAGGTGGAAGTTAACGAGTTACCACTTGGAGAGGACCTATGTCAGTGAGGGGATTCAGATACAAGGCATTCATTGCTTTCCACAGTCACTCTGCCAACCAAAGGGACTGGTACCCACATGTCATGGACAGGGACGCCTGAGGCTCAGAATGGGAAGGAGGTGTGTCCAAGGTTGCACAGTGGGGAAGAGTCAGGACGTGAACCCAGAGCTCTCTCCAGGGGCCCAGGCCACATGGAGATTAATAAAGGAATCACCTTGGCGGGGTGTGGCACAGGGATGACAGCCGGAGGCCACCTGGAAAGCAACACGGCAGGGTGGGGGGCGGTTGGGGGAGCACATGGACCACTCAGAAGGCTTGTAATGAATGGGCCCAGACTCAGAGGGGAAATGGTCAGGCTGGATGGGGTCATGGCCTGTGAGAGCTGGTGGTGCCAAGGCATTTGAGACCCTGGGTAGAGAGGAGGACAGAGAGCTCCTGGTGGGGAGGGGGGGCGGCGGGGGCTGGCTTTGGGTACAGGTACCAGGAACCCTGGCACTCAGCCCACAAAACAGTGCTTCTTACAAAGCTTGTGCCAGGACCGCCGCAAGCCCTGCCAGCCTGCACAGGCAGCCAGCCTCCAGGGAACGACAGCCTTGAGAAGCTCAGGAGATGGCGAAGTATTTCCAGAGGACTCCACGACGGCAGGAGAATCATGCCGCCCATAACAATAGTAAATAAACTAAACTGCTCTCTGTTGCCCCTGGTCTTAACTAGCCCGTATATTTCAGAAATGATGTTTTTGGGCATATTCGTGTCTCCTGACAGACCTGCTAAAACAACCCGTTAAAGATATTAAAGCTGAATGTGTTTGTACTCAAGCACACACATCTATCTGAAGACAGTGGAGGACAAAAAGGCACTAAATATTCACAACCACACACACACAAAGTGATATACTTTGAGTCACCAGCTAAAAAAAATTCACCTATTCCCTTTTTTGGGGGGGGGGAAGGGGGGAGGCAGTCCAAGAAATTCCTTAACCAACACTGCTACCTCCAAATATCACCTGGTTTAGGATAAAACTAAGGACCCAGAACCAAGGATGTTGACTTCTGATCCATGGGCAGTTCTGTCATGGGTTAATGAGGACATGATGCGATGCATTGTCCTTTAACAGAGCGGACTTTGCTGTCTGGACAGCACCAGAAATGATAGGCCCTGTCACCCTTGGTCATCACAGGCAGCTAGATGCCTTTCTCTACAACCACAAACTGAAGAAAAAGGGGTCCAGGCCGATCAACAGCACACTGGCATGAAAGAGAATTAGGGAATTAATAGAAGGTCCCAAAAGTTTTTTAGCCTCATGACACTTAATTCAGCGACAGGTTTTTCAGCACTGTTTCAAATTTTCTTCAGTTCTGCATCATTCACTGAGCAGAAAGCAGCAAACATCTTAACACGCAGAGAGCAATGCCCTTGAGATTATTAATATCGGATGTCTGTTGGCAAAGCCAGAGAACGGCATTGCAACCTTCTCTCCCCTGAGCATGTTGCAAATAATAAGTGATGTTTATCAAGAGATGCTTCTATGTGAAAAGGATTTTCATTATTCTCCAAACCACTGATTCATAGTTTTTGGGTTTTTTTAAGATCAGAAAACTGAGCGGCAAAATGCCATTGAGGAATTTTCTATCTAACGACTATTGCTGGAGAAATCAGTCTGACTTAAAACCCAAACAGAAATAAAATGATGAAATCACCATGCAGCTTTCAGTAACACCTGCGAGGTGTTAGCGAGAGACACAAGGCACACAGTCCCTGAACCCAGATGGTCTGAATCTTTGACTTTCTGCCCATTCTGAGTGCTTGGGTGGTCTCTGGGAGGCTCTCTTCCCTCTCTGGGGCCTGGCACTCCCAGCTTCCATCACAGTTCTCCTGTCCACACTGACATGCGATGCCAGGCCCAGCGCCACAGAATCTCACACCGTGGATTCAGCTGGGGGCCACCCCAGGGCCCACCTTTGAGTCTTGCAAAGAATGGTGCCCAGGACATGAGTGTTTAGCTTTGAAAGGACAAGCAGATGAAGGGGAACAGCCAGGACTCATGTGTAAACAAAAGGCTGTGAATCACAAATGTGTTGTCCAAGTCATAAAACGATCTCCATTTCTAGAAGATTTGAAACTCCAGATTTTCCAGGATGTTTTTCTCAATTTTATAACACCCTTTCCCCTTTGCTTCTCTGTAACTCGGGTGTGTTTCTCGTGAACGACTCCGCCTATGTTGAAGGCTCTGAACCATCTAGCTGCATCTCAGTGACACCTTGTGCTCAGTGGCATGGACCAGAAGTGGGGTCCTGCCTTCTGTGGTGACAACAGGATTTCCCCAAGAGCACCAGGAACAGAGGGGAGGATAGGTGTTAAAGGGCCCCCTCTCCGGGTCCCCTGTGGTCACCAGCACCCCTGACCTGGTGTGGACACCACAGCCGTGAGGGACCAGACCAGCAGCATCCTCAGAAGTGGCTTCATCCTTTTGGCTTCTAGTTCAGAACCACCTCAGCCCGAGGTAACCCTCAGCCTTTTCTGCTTCCGGGGTTTTGGCTCACATTTCCTGCACTGCATCCAGGTGGGGAAAGGAGTTTAACCATTGACAGGGGAAAGGCAAAAATATAAGCCTGTTGTTTATTGTTGTTCAGTCATTCAGTCGTGTCTGACTTTGTGACCCCATGGACTACAGCATGCCAGGTTTCCTGTCCTTCACTGTTTCCCAGAGTTTGCTCAAACTCATTCCAGTGAGTCGATGATGCCATCCAACTGTCTCAATCTCTGTTGCCCCTTCTCCTTCTGCCCTCAATCTTTCCCAGCATTCGGGTTTTTTTCAATGAGTCAGCTCTAAATATCAGGTGCCAAAGTACTGGAGCTTTAGCTTCAGCATCAGTCCTTCCAATGAATATTCAGGGTTGATTTCCTTTAGGATTGACTGGTTTGATCTCCTTGCTGTCCAAGGCACTCTCAAGAGTCTTCTCCAGCACCATAGTTAGAAAGCATCAATTCTTTAGCGCTCTGCCTTCTTTATAGTCCAATTCTCACATCTGTATATGACTATTGGAAAAACCATAGCTTTGACTATATGGACCTTTGTCAGCAAAGTGATGTCTCTGCTTTTTAATATGCTGTCTAGGTTTGTCATAGCTTTTCTTCCAAGGAGCAAGCGTCTATTAATTTCATGGCTGCAGTCACCGTCCGCAGTGATTTTGGAGCCCAAGAAAATATAAGCCTGGCCGAGATTTAAAACCCTAGGAAGTGTTTCTCAGTGAGGAGGTTCTGTGCTACACGCCCACCCAGGGTTGAAAATATCTCCAAACAAGTTCACTAATCCCTCTTCATTACTCAGGCTTCAAAGTAAGGAAATTCTGACTTGAAAGTGTTTCAGGTGTTTATTCAAAGAAAATCATTGTATAATATAGCTAATTTCACTAACTTTGATACTGTCAAATATAAGAGGTACCGTTATACCACAGAAAGAGAAAAAAATGCTGCTTATTCAACTGTGATGTCATTGATTTTCATCCTTACCCTGATTTGAACACAGTGAAATGTGTTAAAGTGTATGCATTATAAAACTGATACGATATGATCAAGATTAACTAAAGTTAAAATAGATCCTGAGTTGTTTATTTTTAATTGACATGGTCTACATTTTAGGTAGTGCA